GTGCCGGAGGCCTCTCGGCTGGCCTGCTCCAGCCTCTCCAGCCTGGCCGCGGAGCCAGGGCTGAGCAGTCCCCGACCCGAGGCCTCGACCCCGGCCAGCCCCCCTGACGCCCTGGCTGCACTGTGTGGGCGGGACGTCCGGCACAGAGAAGGAGCCGGTGACTGGTGTGATTAAAGAGGGCTCAGGGAGTCCCGGCTCCGGGGGCCCTGTACGGGGGTAGGAGCTCGAGGACTTTGTGGCAATACCTAGCCGGTGCTGAGGTGTGGCTCTAGATTATGGAGCCAGTTCTGCCCAACAATGCACAACCTTGGCAGCGTCTAGAGGCCATACATGTGGGGCCAGATAGAGAATGCCAGGGCGGCATGAGGGAGACACAAGCAGCCCACGCTGCCCCCTCCCAGCCCCTTGGGGAAAAGTCACCCCTGTACAATAGCAGCCGAGTGCACAGAAATTGCTCTGGAAAGCAGCAACCCCAAAAGAGTTTGGGGTCAGAGTGGACCAGCACCCCAGCGTGAGGCGGTGACAAACAGGGCTAGTGTGATTTTACCTCTGCGTCTGGCATTGGTGAGTCGATCCTGGACACCGCATCCAGTTCTGGGTCCGCAGTTTAAAGAGGGTGGGGTGGGTGCAAAAAAGAGCCAAAGAACTGATCCGAGGCCTGGTCACTCAATCCAAGACCTGCTGGTGTCACTTATCTCAGCCAGCTCCTCAGCGTCAAGCAGGGGACGCGCCTTTGTCCAGCCTCGCCACAGTCACATCTGGGTCCCCTCATTCACCCCATGGCCCCGGCAATCTCCCATTGCAACGGACCGTGAGAGAAACAACTCTGACGTCACACACCCTGATGGGGACGGGACTCTCGGCAGAGGGGGAGCAAGGCACGGCAGGCAGCCCGGGAAGCCCCCGTAAGCCAAAGCAGTCCCTGCAAGGGAACAGACTGCACGTGGGGCTGCCCCTTTCCTGGACCCAGGATTGCTGCCCCCTACTGGAGGTGGTGGTGGGGCCTCCCCACACTGGCGTCCCTGTCTCACCCCGTCGGGGGGGGTCTGGCACCCAGGAGGGGTTTGGCCCACTCCCCTGCACCCTGACACACAGCGAGGGGGAAGCACACTGCAGTCGCCGGCAGCCTGAGCCCCAACACTGAGGTCGTCAGTCCGCTTCGGGCCAGATCCTCAGCTGGTGTAAATCTACAGAACCTCTGCTGAAATTCCCTTTACACCAGCTGACCACATGCTGCGTACCCAGCTCGCAGGGCTTCGGTTCCCCACAACAGACAGGCAGGTGAGCGGGGCAGGGGCTCTCGGCAGGGAGAAAGTCTTGTCTAGTGGGCAGAGCACGGCATGGGCACTCAGGCAACCGAGTTTCTGGTCCCGGCTCTGCCACGGGCCCTGCTGGGTGACGCTGGGCCAGGCACTTCCATGCTCTCGTTCCCCACCTGTTTGTTATCTGTGTGTCCAGCCCCTAGCGCACGGGGCCCTGCCTGGGGCCTCTAACTAACAGCCGTGGAGAGTGAAAGAAAGCCCATCCTAGGAGCCAGCTGGCGCCCGGGGGCTGCAGGCTAGCTGGGGACACTGAGGCAAAGGCAGGTCACTGTGCATAACCACCCACCAGAACATGGCCACGCGGCGGCTGGGGCAGGCGATGCCAGGGGCTGTCCATTGCTTTGCATTTGGGGTGCGGCTCCTCTCTCCTCCTCCCTTGCTGTATTTAGACCTGGGTGGGGGGGATTGAAGAACTGAACGTTTCAGGGGAAAGGCAGCAAGGAGCGTAAATAGCGACAGAGAAGAGCTGTTGGGAAGGAGGAGGGACCCCGGCTGTGCATGCAGGCCTGGTGAGAGGGGCTTGGCTCCGCTGCCCTGCAGCGCCCCGGCTGGGGCTGGCAGGAGGGGGTCAGCCCTGACCTGTAAACCACCCTCCACTTGGCTAATTAGGATGGGACTCAAACCATACCTGAGCCCTGGCGTCTCTGCAGCAGGCGGAGTTGGGTTTTGGAGGGCAGCTCACACCACAGGCCTCCACCCAGTGCCAGCTAGCGAGGAGGGAAGCTCTGTGATTGTAGAGGAAGCTGGCAAATTACAGGCCCCTGCTCTGAGGATCAGAGGCAGCCATGGTACTAATGGAGACTTTTACATCCCTTCAGTCCCTCTCCTCCCCCACTGGCATGCCCCACAGCTGCCACGGGGGTGGGAGCTGCAGACAGAACAGTGGCAGGGGGCTGTTGGCTTCCCAGCCAGAGGCCGCACAGAGCACATAGCCCGTAGCAGGGACCCTGCCCTGAGATCTCATGGGTGGGCCTTGGGCCCGGGGCTGCCCCTTTATGGTGTGGAAAGCGGGCCCCACTGATGAGCTCCCCTCCACCCCAGCACCTCCTGCCCCCCGCTCATCCGCTGTTCAGGCAGGAGACGCTGGGGGGGAGGGGGAGGAGTGGGGGCAGGAAGAGGAAGGGCAGGGGTGGGGCCTTGGGGGAAGGGGTGGAGTGGGGATGGGGCCTGGGGCAGAGCGGGGGTCAAGCACCCCCGGGGAAATCAGATAGTCAGCACCTCTGCACCCAGGGATGCTCTCTGGAGAGTGGGGGGCTAGCAGGAGGGAGGAGGGCGTGACTCCAGATCAGCTGCGAGAGGAGAGCTTGCACGGAGAGCGCTGAACTGTGCTAGGTTTGCTCAATGCCCGTTTGACTCAAACACTCGAAAAACCCCTGGAAGAACAGCTCTCTGTGTTAAAAACTTAAACCCCTGTCGGCTGAGAAAGCTCCATCCCCCTCCTCTCCGAGCCAGCCCCATCCTCCTGCTCCTCCCCAGGGAGTCTGTCTTAGGTACTTATCTGGCTCCCAACACCGTAGCCTCTGGGCATCTCACAGTCTTTAGCCTCATGCGCCCATGAGGCGGGGCAGCGCTCTTATCCCGACTGCACAGAGCGGACACTGAAGTCAAGGGCAAAACTCCCATTCAGCTCAAAGGAGCCAGCTGCCGCCACCCACAGCTCAAGTCTCAAGCTCTACAGGAGGGACCTGAACTCAGGTCTCCGGAGTCTGAGGCACATGCTCTAACCACTGGGCCAGGCTTCCTAAGCCTCCCGCAGCAGAAAACAGCCTGTTAAAAAAAAATCAGCCCTTTCCCCTCCATGAGAACCCCCATCCCAAGAGGCCCCCAGTCCTGAGCGGCTGCCCTGTGATTGCTGCAAAAGAAAGAGGCCTAAAGGTCACTTTTCCACCTGCTCTTCTTGGGTTGGAACAGGCTGGGCCTGTAGGGTGACCAGACAGCAAGGGTGAGAAATCGGGATGGGGGTGGGGGGTAATAGGCGCCTACATAAGGAAAAGCCCCAAATATCAGGACTGTCCCTATAAAATTGGACTTGTGGCACCTTAGAGACTAACAAATTTATTTGAGCATAAGCTTTTGTGAACTACAGGGAGGGATAGCTCAGGGGTTTGAGCATTGGCCTACTAACCCCAGGTTGTGAGTTCAATCCTTGAGGGGGCCATTTAGGGATTTGGGGTAAAACTTGGGGATGGGTCCTGCTTTGAGCAGGGGGTTAGACTAGATGACCTCCTGAGGTCCCTTCCAGCCCTGTGATTCTATGAAATAACTTTGTTAGTCTCTAAGGTGCCACAAGTCCTCCTGTTCTTTTTGCAGATACAGACTAACATGGCTGCTACTCTGAAACCTATAAAATTGGGACATCTGGTCACCCTAGGCTGGGGGGAGGGGGGTAAACCCAGGGAGGCAGATGAGCTGCTGGAGCCTAGCTGGGTTGAGGACGGAGCGTGATGTGTGTCAGAGCAGGATTATCAGCCGGAGCTGCCTTCGCTAGGAGGGACTGGACTCGGGGGCCCAGGGGGTCCCTGCCAGCCCTGGGGCCTGTTCCTCCCTGTTTTCAGAATTGCCCCAAATGTCTCCCACGTGGGTTGAGACCTGTTTCTTGAGCTGAAACACACTTTCCCTCGATAAAAGCAGGTGCTGATTGGTGGATGGGTTGGGGTGGGGGGCGTCTCCCATTCTGTGGCTTTCTGGTGGGTGGGATCAGGGTCGGTGTGATCGGCCAGGGGTCAGGAACCCTGCCCCCGAGTCCCCATTCTGCCAGCAGCTCACTTGGTGTCAGTTAGGCCCTTGTCTTCAGAGAAGCTCATCAGCTGCAGTGTTGTCCTCTGGGGTTTGCACCTCAGTTTCCCCCCCTAGCATGGAGCTAATGCTGACACCCCTCTCGGGAGCATTGCGGTGCGCTCAGTGCTTGTTCAGAAAGCCTGGAGCTGACCGGGTGGAGCGGAGGCCGCAGGGCGTGAGACCAGGAGGGAAGGGAGGAGAAAAGCAGGCGGGCAGAGCTCTGACATGTCGGGAGCTGGCTGAACGCGCAGACCCGCGGAACGGCGCCATCGAGCTGCCTGGGGTCCTCTCCACAGGCCGCGGCTGAGCTCAGCAGACACCATCGGTGTCTGACTGGGGCCAGGCTGTGGCGTTCCCTCCCTCCCTGCCTGGCAGAGCCCAGACCTCACGCCCACATTTTGCCACATGTGCCCCCCCTTTTGGAAGTGTGACTGCAGCAAGGAGGCTCCCGCAGGGAGCGCCGACGGGCACAGGAGCTCAGGGCACTCCGTAGCTCAAAGCAGCAGTATGCCCCAGTAATGCAGAGGGGAAACCAAGGCACAGAGCATAACTGCTGTGCCTGAGGTGACCCAGGAGTAGCTGCATATCCCTCAGTCCCAGGGCAGCGCCCTCCCCACTGCACCAGCTCAAAGATGGCAGGCAAGGGGCGCCAACGGGCCCCACAGCGCTGCCGTGCTCCAAAGCGGCACATGTGGTCCGGGTACGATTAACACCTGCAGAGCAACAACCCGGGGCGCAGTGCGAACCAGCGCGCCTCGGGGTCGGGCCCTTTGCTTCTAATACAACGCAAGCTGAGGCCGAGGCTTACGAGCTCCCATCAGCCTTTGTGGGGGGAGGGGCTTGTATGCAAATCAGTAACCGCAGCATCTGTTCTTTCCCCCCCCTTTCTTTCCTGCTCAGTCCTGGTACCTGGGATAATCACAGCTGCCCCATCCCGTCGCCTCCCTTCTCCTCTGCTTTGGGCGTCCCGAGAGGAAAAGAAGTAACAGCCCCAGGCCCAGCCTTTCGGTGAAGATGGAGAGAGCGAATTACCGACGATGACGACGACGAAAAGAAAAAGAGACCCACACCCAAGACGTTACAAGGAAGGAAGGAAGGAAAAGGTTCAAACTTTTTTAAAAAGTAAAAACAAGCAAAAACCCTACAGACAAAACAGCGATCCACGCACACGACGATGCGGAGTCCCGTTTGCCAGAAACACTATTTGCCCTGCCGGCTGACCTCCTGGGAAGAGAACGGACACAGCTCATGACACAGGTCTCTTCCAGCAGCAGCAGCGCCAGAGTCTCGCCTGCAGTTCTCCAAAGGGTTGTATATGCAAAATTGTCTTTCCAATTTACTCCTTCATTCTCGCCTCTCGTGAGTAGAAAAGAACAAATTTCCCAGGCTCCCCCACCCCACCCCAGCCCACCCTTCTCAGCGAACTGTTTACTTTCCAGGAGGGTGCTGGGGCTGGGTGGGAAGGCAAAGAGACAAGGCATTCAGTTGTTTCTGAACCAGAGGTGCTGGGTGGGGCAGGCGAGCACTCCTTCGTGCTGTTGCTCCCTGTTCCACCCCAGACAAGACGCCTCCAGCCAGCTGCTGGCCCAGAGTTCGGACAACGCGTTCGCCTTTTCTTTGTTTTTTCTTAAATGCTCTATGCCATTAAATGCTCTTCGTTAGGGTGGGGAACGGAGCCCTCCTGGGATCTTGGCACTGCTTTCTGGTGCACTAGAGGAGCGGCATTGTGGGGAAGCGGGGGTGGCGGGGGTACACGGGCTGGAGCCCCTTTAATCCTTCTCTTTCTCGGATTGCCTTTGGGCACTACCAGCTGCAGAAGGGGAGGGACAGAACTCGGCTGTCCCCTGAGCTGAGCCCCGGGCTGTGCATCTGGGCTCCTCTGTACGTAGAGCCCGTGTTTCCAGGCGAGGAACAAGCAGGCCAACCGGGGAGCAGGGCACTGGCTTCAAGGGGGGACGTTGCCACAGCTTGGAGCCTTGGCACGAGCCAGCACTGCAGGAGGAGATGGGTCCGAGACTCACCATCCGGCTGGCTGGAATGCGCAAGGCGCAGAGATAACGCTGCTGTTCAGATTGGCACTAACGGGCTCTGGGAATTAGCCCTGGAGCTCCGTTTGGAAATGAAGGGGGTGGAAATTTCTGAATTACAGATCGGCTGAAACAGCTGAGTCCAAAACTCCAAATCTCTCCTCTGGGAATAATTCTCCCGATGGCGTCTGCTGTTCCCCAGGTGCCTTCCCCTGCTGCCGAGCCCTGCCAGCCAGAGCCAGCTGGGAGCAAATCCCTGTCTCTCTGCAGTGAAAGACACGACGCCAGTGTCCTGCTGGGTGTGGCGTGGCATAGCTCCGTCGCAGTCCATGGGTGGGACTATTCCACCCTTACGTGGGTGTCATGCCCATAGTGCAGGGCTGCGCCAACGTAGCGTGCCACACTGGTAAACTTTCCATACTGGAGCTTATGCCGCGTAGCTCCTGGCAAACGCGGGGCCTGTTTGAAAACCCCGCAACTCTCTTTGTGTGGGGGCGAGGCGGGGCTGGACTCTGCTACCAGGGCAGGGCCTGGGATTTGTGTGGACTGAGTCTTCTTCTCGCTTGGCTCTGGAAAGTTAGGATGGGACAGGTGGGCCGAGGGGAGGGAAGGGCGGAGCGAGATTTCCCCCGCGCACCTGTGTACAAAGAGCTATGCACACCTGTGGACAGGTACCATGTAGACTAGTGGCGAGATGGTTGCAATTGTGTTGCACATTTTGTAGGAAATGCACTTTTAAGAGGGAATGATAAAAAAAAGAGCAGCAGCAGCAGGAGAGTGGAGCTCCCGGCACTGGCTTGTTGGGAGATTTTTTTTTTAAAGAGAGAGGATTTGCTTCCTGAGAGGCTGCACCACAGATGGGACACACCCTCCCCCCCCACCACCCCGTTTGTGGGGCCGGAGTAGGCCTTGGATCCGTGACTTGGGTAGGCAAGGTGCCCTAAATTCAGACGGGTGGGGGCCGTGACACTGCTGGGCTCTGCCCAGCTCAGACACCTCCCCATTTCCTTCTCCCCGGCCAGTCGCTCCCCAGCCCCCGCCATACAACGCAGTTCCTGACTGGTTCAAGTGCCTGAATTTTCTACTGCCGTCCCCTGGGCGTCGGCGAGCTCAGAGAGCCAGGGCCGGGGCTGAGCTTTCACCTGTCCGCAGGGCTGTGGGAGCCGGGCAGGGCTCGGGATATTAGCGAGACGCGCCGTGGAGGTGGGCACTGGACCCGCATGTGTTGGCGAGAGAGATGCTCTCGAGTTACACAGAGCTCGTCTGCCTGCCGAGAAGCATGAAGACAAACGGCCCCGTTCACTGTGATCCCTGGCTGGGCCCGAGAGTGGCACGCGCGCCAGATTTACATGGGGAAATCACCCGGTTCGCTGAGAAGCTAAATTAAACGACACGAGCCGGAGCATGGGCTGGGCTCGGCGAGGGAGAGACCAGGGCCGGACTCTGCCCACCGATCCAGGATCCTGAGGGGGTGAGACGCCGTTGCCAGGCAGTTGTTGGAGGGCTGCCTCTTCCGAACGAAATCTTTCACGCATGCCGCACACGCGGCAGCAAGAGAAATGGGGCCATTGGCTGCGCCCTTTGGCAGTCGAAAGTGTGACCAGGGAGAGGGGGGCCTCTGCTCCCTGGAACAGCCATGCCTGGTGGGGCACTGGTGCTATGGGACAGAGGCCCCCGCACACCCTCGGATCCTCTGTTCGGTCACGGCAGAGAACCGTGTGAATTCACCGAGCCAGCACCGTCCTCCCTCCCTGGCCCATTTCATGCCCACCCAGGCAGCCCCTTAGGAGAGTGCTCGAAAGGTCCAACCTGCTTCCTCACCAGTTCCTGTCCGAGCATGGAGTGAGCCGTGGGTCTGCAGTGGGGCCCGGAGAGAGGAGACCCCGCCTTGGCCCTCTGCAGGCAGCACCGCCGGTTAGTGCCTTAGATCAGCAGCGGGAGTGCGCTGCCCCTCCCGCCTCCAGCACGGCTGGGCCCCTGGGCGCCCCTGCCCGCTGTCTGCTCCGCTTTATGCAGGCAATTGCCTGTGGTGGAGAAACAAGGGGCCGTCCCCCCACTTCCTTCCCATAGATACACCAGGGGTGGGGGAGGGATAGCGGCAGGGCAGGTGTCTCTGGGGAGGGGGAGCCCAACGGCCACGGAGCAAAGCGGCAGGAATCCACGCAGAGAGAGGACCACCCAACCGCCAGCACCTGTTGGCATAGCCCAGCGCCAGGCGGTGCCCTCGGGAGCCCAGCGCTGCTGTTCCCCAGCCACGGGGCATATCAAACAAGGGGAGAATCCCAAAGGGGAGTGAGGTGCCCCACTCCCAGTGACTGTCAATGGGACCAGGCCCCACCTGCCTCTATGCCTGAACATCAGTGAGTCAGCCCGTCCCCCCTCACACCCACCTCCACCAGCACGGGACCCCGTCTAGAGCTGGCCCCAGACGACAGCCTCCTTGGGCACAGCAAGAGCGGCAGTTTGCCCCCTGGCCAGCCCCTGCCCTGCTCCCCGGCTCCAGGCTCTGCTGCGCCCGGCGAGGGGAGAAGGGGCGCTATGGGGCCGGGCATTCCCAGCCCGAGGGCCGTGTACACTTCCTAATGGAGGAGAGAACCAGGAGGAAAGGAGGAAGAAGATGGCAGAGGAGCGATGACTGGAGAGGAAGGCTAAAAATGGGCTGCTGGGCAAAAAGGAGCCAGGAAACTGGAGCGCTCTTCGCAGCAGGGAAACGCCAGGCACCTGCAAGTCATACCTGCACTGCTTCTCCGCTGGGCCTACACTGAGTCCTCTCCAGAGCGGCAGGAAAATCCATCTCGGCCCTACAGTCCTGTGCACCCCAGGCCACGCTCCCCTCCTGTCCCCGCTCTCCCCAGGAGATACCCAGGTTAATTATGGGGGGGCAAAGGATTCCAGGTCTGGTTCAGCCTCCCCCACTGCCCTCAAGGCTGCTTCCTGGGTCCGTTCCAGGGGTGCACAAATAGACCCCGCTCCGTTGCCTGCAGGGACTGACTGGGTATTCGAGGCTGCAGCAGATGCTGATCATCTGTGACAATCATTTCTACCCCCCCGCCCACCGCAATGGCTTCCTGCTCAGCCCAGAGCCCCTCGATTCCTCTCTATCTATCCCCAATCCACCCCCGTTATCTATCTAATCTAATCTATCTATCTATCCCTATCCACCCACCATCTATCTATCTATCTACCCACCCCCTTTATCTAATCTGTCTATCCACTCCCTTTATCTAGTCTATCTATCTATCCATCTATCTATCCCCATCCACCCCCATCTATCTAATCTATCTATCTATCCCCATCCAACCCCTTTATCATCATCTATCTATCTATCTATCTATCTATCTATCTATCTATCTCTCTCTCTAGCCCCAGTTGCATCTAGGCACTGGCTCCAGTGAGAATCGGAGGTGCTTTCCTTTGAATCAAACTCTTTGCCCCCCGTGGCTTTGTATAGTTTTGGGGGGTGTTCTCCCACTATTTCTTCCCCTTCCTTGTGCCCCCCACCCGCTTCCCCTCCGCCCCCTTCTCTGGCATGCCCGACAGGGAGATGCTGGTTTCTCCTCCCCGACAGGAGCTCGGGCCTTTGGAAGTGGCTTTCAATCAGGCAGCGAGTCAGACACGAAAAGGAAGAGGGGCGCTCCTTTGCTCCCACCCCGGGTACACGTTCTGCTTCCCCAGAGCTCGGGGCGGCGCGTGGACCTGGGGCAATTCACACAGCTCCCAGGGCCTGCGCGGCCCAACGGACCATCCAAAGCCAAAGCGAGGCGGGGCTGGATCAGGCCTGATGCGATCCCAACACCTGCATTTTCCAGTGAGGGCTGTGGCTTCGGCACCCTGCTCTCAGCGCTGGGTTTTGGGGGCTAGACTGGCTGGTTCCAAGGAGCCGTTTTCACAATCGGGCCCAGGGGCTGGCCAAACCTTGCATACCATGTCCAGCTCCAAGGTGGGACCTTATCTGGCAGGGGGACAGAGGGACCTCATTTCTGGTGCCCCTGTGGGAGGGGCTGACACAGGAAGTCCAAAACAAAAGCAATTGATGGAGAGGGGGGAAAAATTTAAAAATACAAAAAAAAATAAATAAAATAGAAATAAACTGCATGGTGCTTTAACAGGAACTCATGTGACCTAGCTCAACCAATCAGCTACTGGCTGATAATGTGCATGGCAGACTGTATAACTGGCTCTACCTTCCCCCCCTGACGAAAAATCATGTATAAAAGAAAAAAAGTTTAAAAATCCATGTTTCCTAATTTGCACGAAATTTGATACCACATGATGTGCCTTGCCTTCTAAGCCTAAGTGTTAACCGTACTGGTATCACCACACAGGAATAGCTGCATGCACTGGTTCTCGTAGTAAAATTAAGGGGGGAGGGATGGGACTTTTCGCCATTTGTCAAACCCTTCAGGGTTCAGTTGGGGGCTGTTGTTTGTTAATTTTCTTTTTTAAGTGTGTGTCGGTTCTGACGTCCTGGGGAAGGCTCTGCGCGGCTCAGAAATGTTGGGATGGCGTCACATAGGGCTGGGGTCGAGGCTCAGCTATGCTGGCGTAATCCGGGGCGCGCCCCCTCTGATCCTGCTTATGCCTAACTTGCGGCCTTTGTAACCCCATTGGCTTCAATGGGGTTACTCCAGTTTCACACCATTGTGACCCCGTTCACATTCAGTGCAGTTACTCCAGTTTCACACCAGCATACTGAGATGATGAGTCTGCCCCCAGACCGTACGTTTGTTTTATAATCAGGCGTTATACCCCGACCCCTCCATACTGGCAGACAGGACACAGAAATAAATAACCAGGGAACCTTCCTGGGTTTCAGAATCAGAAACCAACGAAATTTGCAAGGGGAGTGTGAAACAAACAAAGCCCTGGCCTGGAGTCTTTTGTCTGATTGAGGCAGGTCCGAGAGGGGAGCTGAGGTGAAGAATAACCTCCTGGTTTCTAGTGCTCCCAGCAGGAAGATTGTCTTGGCAATCAGCCCCAGGTAGAGATTTCTTTTGCCCCCTCTCGCCCAGCCTCCCAACCTGTCCAGGCCAAATTAGGCGGTAGCTCTCCCTACATTAGCCATGCACATGGTTTCTTTTTGCTTGCATTGGGCACTGAGTTGCCAGGCTGTCCTGTTTATTACCAGCTTCCCCTCCTATACGTCTTCCAGCTGTTCATACAAAGTGCATCTTGTATGAAAAAAATATGCAATACCTGTTTTGTCTGTGTTGATAGCTCCGTTAGCTGAGACTCTCAGTGACTGATCCAACCCCGGCGGGGCAGTGGGAGGGGTTTTGTGGCATGGGGTGGGGGAGGTGGGATTTTGTGTGTTTTTTCCTTTTCCTTTTTAATTGACCAAAGTTAATGAGCACGGCAGCAGAATCTCCCTCCTTCCTCAGCCAGCGCTGGGTGGGGGGGACGGGACACGTGTACGTTCTGGTGTGGCGGGGAGGGCGGGGGGAGGATTCATCGTTGGTATTAGCATCGTGTTTCCTTTGAGAAGGGCAGGTGGTTCTGAGACGGGCCTGGATCCTAGAGGTCAGGTGTGAAGCCAGGGCCAGGCCCACACCCTGACCTCAGAATCAAGGGCAGCTGGGGGATTGTTTCTATCTTCCCGGTGATTTTATTTTCAAATCACATTGATTTACCTCCTGGAGAGGGGAATCCACTGGCTCCTTCTGTGCTGAGCCTCCGGCCATGCACCCAGAGAGCTCAGCAGCCACGCTGGACTCGCGGGCTCCCAGGGGTGGTGGGTCGTTGGTGCTGGCTGGAGGGGATGTGATCAGGCCAGTCCCTAGGGAGGCATGCTTCACAGTGTGACGGGAGCGGAGGGGCGTTTTCAGGGAGATGGCGGGTCTGCAACGTGCTGGGCTGGCAGGTGCGCGGTGGGTTTCCAGTGAAGGGAAACGGGGAGCAAGGGGTGCGAGCATCCAGATCAGAGAGGAAAGGTGTGTGAATGCCGGACGTGCTGTTCCAGAGGAACCCCAGGGCCGTTGCCTCTCCAGGTGCTGCTGGGACAGTGCCACCATCAGCAGGAGAGTCTCTCTCCCCCTCGCAACGAGCCGGGGTTCTTCTGGAGCCACCCGCAGGCTATGGAGCTGCACATGCCTCACTCACCCCACTGAGCCCAGATCAAAGAGACCCCCTCCCCAGCCAGGGCAGGATTCACACTCCCTGGGTGCGGCCCCCCGTACGTCACCTGCATTTAAATATATAAACGTGAGTTCTCTGTAGGAGCCTCGCCAGGGCCTGCTTGGGGCCAGGCCACGTGGGGATGAGCCAGCAAAGGGGCAGTTGAGAGATCCCAGTGTCGCATGCCCTCTCCGGGCCGGTCTCCCCCAGGCCCTGGCACTTGCCGTGAGCAGTGTGTGCACCGTAGCGCCTCAGCCTGGTTTGGGAGGCAGGAAGAAGAAAATTAGACTAACTTTTTTTGGTACAAACCCTACAAGAAATGGTTCCCGTGCCCCGGGCTGATGGGGGCCGTTCAACCATTCCACATGTCACAAACCAGCAACCTTCCCACCCCCCCGACACACGCAGCATGGCTGGGCCAGCCAGCCAAGCATCAGGAGCCAGCCTCCCAGAAATGATGAGACTGGCTGGAAAATCATGAGATTTAGAGATAAAATATGGGTTCTTTGGCTTTCTTACCGGTGCTGGAGTCTCCAGAGGATTTCAAGCGGGTCTCCCAGCCAGGACGGCTAAAACAGGCCTTTAGATTTGAAACGCAAGTCTCCCGAGAAAGAAAAGGAGTACTTGTGGCACCTTAGAGACTAACCAATTTATTTGAGCATGAGCTTTCGTGAGCTACAGCTCACTCCTCCACCTCTGTGAGCTGGGGGTGCGAAGGAAAACAAGGCTGGCCATTAAACTGGCAAGCGTGGGCAATGCTGGGAGATGCCGGGAGTGCCCCCCCCAGCTGGACGTGATGGCTCTGGGCCCATTTCTGCTGCCCCAGGGTCTCACTGACTGCTCAGGTGGCTCCAACTGTGTTACGCCTGATTTACACCAGTGCAAGTGAGATTAGGGCCAGGGTCTGCCCTACACCAGGATGGGACAAGTGGACGGAGCCGTCTGCAAGACTAGCTGCTTTAAAAACACCCTGGGCTAAGGTCTTGCACTAGGCCTACGACCCACTTAAGTGCCACATCAGCCCTTAAGCGGGACATAGGCGTTGGGGAACTTGAGTCATCGTGTGCCAGCCCTCTGCTGAGGGGTGAATTTCATCCCAGTAGAAGGATCTACCACTGCGGCAGGCAGTTACCACCATCCACCCGTCATTCCAGACTTGCCACTGTGGTATGGTCGCCCCCTCCGAGCCAGAGATGCCTTGGAAAGACGGAGGCTTTGCTGCCCCTCGCTCACGCCAAGCGCTGGCAGGCCCCCTGCTGCTGACGGTTCCACACACACGCACACGACGTGAACAATTAGCCAGAGCCAACGGACCTGGAAGCAAAAGTGGCTTTGTTTGAGGAGGAAGGTTGTTTGTGTCAAGAGTGCTAGATGATGGCTTTGCGGTGGGGGGTGGCTGGGCGAGCGACCGGGACAGAGGAAGGCTAGAATTGTAGAAAGCTCGTCGTGGGTTTGGTTTCCTCTCTTGTGTATTTTTTTTTACTGTTGCATTCTTCGTGCCATGGGCCGGAGAGGGAGGGATTTGAAGCAAGGGATGCATTTGTGGAAAGTCCTTGGGGGATCTTTTTATGCAATGTGCAGTATTGTTTTCTGCAAGGACAATGCAACGCGGGTAGCTGTAGTTTATTTTAAAAGACAAAAAAAAAATCCCCCCAAAAAAGACAAAAAAGAAAAGAAAAGCAGGTAAAAAACCCCACAAAAAAAAATCACCCGCAACCTAACCGACAAGTGAACGAGTTTGCAGGCCACACACCCGCTGTGACCGACTCTGCGGGAACCGGGCTGGGCGGTAACCCCACAACAATCCAACCCCTTCAGTGCAAGAGCTCCTGACACAGCAACTGCCTTTGTGTTCATACCACGGAAGAAGGGGTGGAGGCAGGGGGTGCTGGATGCTTTCTCGGTGGATGGGGCCTGAGTCAACCTCCAACCATGCCCAATTGCTCATGTGGGCACAACGCCCATTGAGCTGAGCTGGGCTTTGGCCTGTGCATGGCTCATACAGCTGAGCCCTAAACAGAGTCTGGCAGAGAAATCCAGGTGCGGACAGCAGCCTCTCTCTGTGGCAGGAGTGCAAAGCACTGCTCACGTTTTCTGTCCCACCCAAAAAACTTCCGCTCTCGGCCAGGTAAAGATTGGCTTCAATTTTTCCATTCCGAGCCTTCAGATTCCAGCATCTCTGCAGATGGAAGCTGTTGGGCCGGTGAGATCTTTGGGCCAGGCCAGGGCCACCAACCCAAACCCCAGAACTGTCTAGCTGTAGCATTTCATTTTTTCTGGCTTGTTTCAAAGACAGCCACAAAAAATCCCCCACGAAGAAATTGCACCTTACCAAACGTTCCGACCAATCCAGGGGGGCGCTGAGCAGCACGGGGGCGCAAGCGTTGGCTAGTTGACTGGGCTCTTTCGCGTCCACCAATGAAAGGGAAGCTCACACCGCCCCCTCCTCCTCCCCTGGGAAAATTTGCACTGTTTCACTCACCACACTTTTCTTTGCCGTTTCTTAGTTACCCCAGCCCCAGGGGCCAGGAGAGGGGCCCAGCAAGGGGGCGACCGAGGCAGGTGGGACCGGGATGGACTGCAGCCTGCAAGGTCTGTGTGATCAGACAGCCCAGAGACCAGGCACAAGAGTTCAGACCCAGATCCCCATTCTTCTGAAGTCCAGGCCTTGTCAGAGCCAGTTTTGGTTCAGGTTCTGGGGGCTGTTTGTGTCGGAGGCTGCAGCTCATTGCTAGAGACCAGCAGGGCAATCCTGCACTCGCTAATGCCACTGACCCCAGCGGGGTTAGTCCTCATTTACGCGAGGGCAGAATTCGGTCCCCTGGCCTCCACCCCCTTGTCTGAGACGTGCTCCCAGGCCCTGCCTGACGGAAATATGCAAATTCCATCACAGTCTCCACCTCCGTTGTCTTTTGTACCCTTTGAGGGTTAGTTTGGTTTGGTTTGGGGTTTGTTATTTTTTTTTCTCTGTGACTTTTTAACTCCAAACAAGGCAGCAGCCTGAGCTGGGGAGCAGAGATCACTGCGCGCGGTAGACACTTAGCACGGGATGTTGGGTTTGGTTGTTTCATTTTTTTTTTCTTTCTCTGCTGTATCGATACAATCACATAGTTCAGTCATTGAAATAGACACATAGCCGTTCACAACGGTCTCTGGAAATATCTTGGCAAGGCAAGGATCTGGGGCGGGGCGGGGGGGTGGGCTGATGCTGCCAGGCACTGGCAGGACAGGCCCATGGGGGAGAAAGGGCACGGGTGGTGGCTGGAGAGAAATACACCCCATCAGCGTCAAGCTAAGGGTCTTGTTTCTCCACACAAACTCCTGGAACTTTTAGCTCTTCTAGAGTCTCTAGACAATCAGCTTGGGGAGCAGCCTGTGTAGCCTTCGCTGGCATGGAGGGCGGACAGGGACTGTGATGGACCCAGTCCAGACTTCTTCCCGGGGTTCTGAACAGTCCCAATCCCCAACTTCCACTGAGAGACAATCCCAAGACACACCCTAGGCTGGGGAGGTCTCCTTCCCTCCAGCCTCTGAGCCATGCACTCAACCCTCCCCAAGCAGAGACAGCCCCCATCCGCTGGACCCCTCCATGCACAGCCAGGCAAGGCACAGCGCTTGCTGAGTTCATTCATGCACTACAGTTTCTCTGGAGGGTTCTTGATTTTTTCGTTGTTGTTGTTGTCAACGTCTAAAAATCTAACACAAAAAGTTCTCGTGACCTACAAATAGAAAACCATGTACATATCTCTCTCTATATATATGGTGCTACAGGGACTGGATCTCAGAGCCTTGGGGACCTGGGCACAAGGTCAAATGTATCTACAGCTACCCCACCTGCTCCTCTCTGGAGAGGATGATAATCCAGCTGTTCCGGTTTTAATGTCGTTTGTTTCGTGTCGGGAAGGAGGCTGGGGGCTGAGCATAGGACCTGTGCATGCAAAATCTAAGAGCAGACAATCCTTCGTCACAGCCCCGGGGTCCCCTGGGCAGTCAAGGTACCTTACATCACAAACGAGGGTATCTTTTGTTTCGTTGTAATATGAGTTGGAAATTGCCACTTTTTGTCTCTTCCGCTTGCACATGGATCTTGGGGCTTGGTCTGTTTTAAAGGAGCAAAGACGCTGCTTGGCTGCCACTTCCTTCCATATTTAGCTGAAGTATTGGGGGCTGGGGGGGGGGCAGATCCTCAGCAGACAAAAGGCCCCAATCCTGCTGCAGAGGAGCCTTACGCCCCTGTCCAGCCAACTAGTGCAGCCCAAGCTAGAGTCCGGCCGTGTTCCGCACAGCACGACAACGAGAGGGAAGCGCTGTGCTGAATTGGGGCCGGGAGGGGTCTCACTGAAGTGACTGGGCTCCCCCGCATGCATTGAGCTAAGCACATGCCTAAGTCTGTGCAAGCACAGGCGTGAAATCCCTCTGGCTCCACCGAGGCCGCCCGGGAGCTGTGCCGAGGACCCCAGCGAGGGACGTAGCGCCTAGTCTCTCCCCTCGCCCTTCTGCCCTGAGGTGGCTCCCAGGGTAGGAGGAGAACTTACTAAAGTCCCCGTCACTGGGCAAATCCAGACCTTTCTAGATTAACAAAACTGGAATTCCTGTCGGGAACACCCAAGTTATCACCAGATCCTCCCCCTCCTCCTTCCCCCACGTGTCAACCCCCGACTCCATCAGAACTGGGGTTCCTTCAGGTTGGCCCAATTCACTTTGGCGGCCCTACAGGCTCCAGAGCCCCTCCTGTTCTGGTTACTAACGACGACGACAACCATAGTTTTACACACAACAACCAAAAAAAAAAAAAAAGCGGCAGCCAGCAGGAATCTGAAATACACCAATACCAAAAATTCTGACGAAGCAGTGCCTCTTGCTTGCTGCTGGCTTGGCTTCCTTTTTTTTTTTTTTTTTTTTTTGCCCCACCCTGCCCAGGATTTTGGAGGGCGGGCAGCCGGAGGGAGGGGGGGTTGCTTATACAACCATCTTGTATGTTTCCTACGCAGCACTGCCTCTGTCCCAGGGAAAGTCCAGCTTCGTCCTTTGCCCTGCTGTCTGGATGGGGCAAGAGGGTGGGCGGGGTCAGTATTTAGTCACGCCCACCCAGCAAGATCATTAGCAGAGGGGGCAGAGTTTTTTGTTTCATTAAAGCCTCAAGAACTTTGTCTGGAAAAAAATCGAGGGCTTCCTTTGTGGGAAAATTGTAGCAGGGCAGGGGCCAGGGTCGGGCGCACACCGGTGGGACTGACATTCTGGGGTCAGTCCATGGTTTCTTTCCCCCGGCATCTGAGCCAGAGCCTCCCGAAGTCAGTGGGAAGCTAGCCATGGCCACAGCTAGGCCTTGGCTCAGGTTCCCAAGGCACGGCTCGGCCGGCCTTTGAGTCCTGCCACGGGTTGCCAGGCTCAGAACGCCGCCATCCCCAGCCAATCCCGCCCCTGCCTCGGGCTGGCCCCAGAGCTGGCTAGCATCCCCCTCCCCTGATGGCAGGGTGAGCTCGGGGGGCAGGCGGCGCGTCCTTCCCCGTGGGGCTTTCTCCAGGCTGAGGCTGGTGAGGCTAGTGCCGGGCAGGAGATATTTCCCGGAGATACGCTGGGACCGAGTGGAACGTTGGTTTTTCCCTTTGGTTTGGATTTCATTCGGAAGCTCTTTTGTTCCTTCCTTTCCGTTGCTCTGGGGCGGACATTGCAGCCACAGTTATTCTGTTTCTTGCTTCTTGCTTGCGGCGCCACGTTACACACACGTACCACGGCACCAGGGAAGGCCGAGCTGCGGGGCGCATATCGCATGGGCGGCTTCTTAGACAGTGCCTGGTGGGCAAAGCTCTCTGATCAAACCCCCTCCGTTGGCCCCCCGGCTCCCCCACCTGCATGTAGAGCCCCCTCCCCATTTCCTGCCCCACCCCCATGGCTGGATAGCTCCTTTGGTTGCTTCCCTGGTGCCTCACAATATTTGATGATAACATTGTACGCAGCCATTATTGTTTAGCAGATGCTCCTGCCTACATACACCTTACTGAAAGCGACTATGGGTTTTTTCCCCCCTATGCAAAAAAAAAAAAACAAAACAAAACAAAAAAAAAGTTTAAAAAAACAGAAAGAAAGGAAAAAAATAAGAAAAAATGTATAAAAATTAAACAAGCTATGCTTCAACTCTACACTGTGTCTGGGTTTCAATGCAGCCGCCAGGCCGGAGCCTGCCAGCCCTGTGATGTGGGTCGGTGTCATGAGCCTTGGTTAGCAGCTGGAGAAACTGAGGCACAAACCGGGGCGGTGGCTTTCGCCAGGGACACGCAGAGACACCCCAGGGGTCCCGCTCCCTTGTTCCTGTGCATAATCCCATTGGGCAACCACACTTTACAGACTAGCGTGAGAAGGATCGGTGACCATGCTCTGGGCCTCCATTAGTATGGTGGGGACCCTGAGATGGCCCCGCTCCTGGTCAGAGCATCCTCAGTCCTGGAGGGTTTCTCATTTTTGCCTCTTGTCAAATAATCACTCCCATTTGCCATTGGGGAAACTGAGGCACCGAGGTCCCAATTTGGAAATGCGCAGAGGCCTGTGTTTAAGTGCCGTGGGCACAGTGCGTCACTGCTTCCTGGAGCCAGGCTCCAGGGGATGTGACCTGACATGGGGCAGCAGCACAGCCCAGGTGTCCTGCCTTCTCTTCTCACTGTGCCGTAACTTGGCCTTCTTCTGCCTGGGCTGGTCTCAGGCGGTGACACTGCTGCCCCTGCAACGCTGGGGGGTAGGAACCGCCCCCAGCACCCCACTGGGGACCCCATCTCCACAGCTCATCACTCGACCCGCAAGCCTCCACACGGGCCAGGAAATCAACTGACCAGGTCTCAGTGCACGGAGCCAAGATCGGATTGTTTAGCTTTAAACCAGCTTAGTAAATAACCAGGGACGAGCCCCTGCAGCGCGAGCCAGGCAGGCCCACACACAGCATGTTGCTCCCCAGGGCTGAATTTGGGTTGCGTAGACCCCACAGCACAAGGGCCCCCTGCTGGCCAGAGACCTCAACCCCTCTGATTAGTCCCTCTTAAAGGGGATTCTCTCTCACCCTGCCGCTCAAACATGGGTTGGGAGGTCACAGCCCCCAGGAGATCCCCATGCAGACCCCACGGTGGGCAGGTGCCCGGGGCTCCCCCATGCCGATCCCACAGCAGGGAGGTGCCCGGGGCTCCCCATGCCATGTCCACAGCCCTGCAGGGTTCACATGCAACAGTGAGGCCTGGCCTGATCAGGAGCGCGCGGCTCAGCGGGGATTATGGGCACTGACAGAGATACCATGCCACCCAGACCCCCCCAATGCCCCACTTTGATGTCAGGCTGGTACAGGCCAGCCCAGGGATTCTGCCAGCACTGCAGGGACCAGGCCAATGGGGGTCAGGGTGGGGGGGCACAATGGTGGCATGAGACCCCCCAGCCTCTCCCTGCAGATGGTGGTCCGGGCAGGGTTGTGTCCTGGCCTGACCCTGTGAGCCCCGCACCTCTGGCACATCTGCTCTGATCCAGCCAGTTCGGGCCCCTGGTGACACAGCGCCCTGCTGCCTCGGCCCTGCTGTGTTAATTAGTTGCAATAAAGGGGCCCAAAGAGTCGGAGGTGTTCCCGCACCCCAGGCACCGTCCAGCATTAACTGGTGCCAGCGGAGGCCAGGGTTGGTAGCAGGAGCCCAGCACCGAGGCAGAGACAGTCACAAAGGCCAGCAGGGTATTGCCTGAAACCCACAAAAAGCAGAGACCCGAAACGGGATCACGAGCATTGATCCTGGCTCAGGGGGAGGTTACAAGGTCAGTCCACAAGCCGTCTTGCTGCAGAGGATGGGGCCGTTCTGAAGGAGCATCACAGTCTGCAAAGCAGCTGGAAGGGAGCAAAGACAAGGGGGAGCGAAGCTGGGGGAGGCGGCTTTCGGCCGGTTCTTGGGCGCCAGGGCGGCTGGTCAGGCACAGACGGACGCTCTGGCCTGCCAGGTCGGCCATGGCAGCTCTTGCTCCGGTCCCCAGCTCACCTCCGCGGTCAGGGCTGGCCAGGTCCCTCTCTGTCCGTGGGCCTTGCTGGGCTGTGCCCTGCGGTACAGCCGGCCTCAGGAGCGGGGCGAAGCCGAGCGAGCGAGCACCAAGGGAGAGGAGGGAGGTGGGCGGTGGGCACAGGAGGGAAAGGAAGGCAGAGCAGGATCACGTGTGTCTCCCCCCAGCGTCGGCGCTGGGGCAGCGAACACGGGCCAGGGCCCCGCTGGAGAATCAGCGTCTGGCGTCACAGCCACAAACCTTCCACCGCAGCCACGATGGTAAGTCCCCCCGCCCCAGCCCGGCAAGGGGTGGAATTAACCAGCCTCTCCTTGGGGTTTGGCCCCCAATCAGGCCTGATTTCAGACACCCCAGTTTTGCCCCTCTGGTGCAGCCCTGGAGCCATGCCCAGGCCCAGTGGGGTAGCCCCTTAGCCCCGGTCCCTTCCCACAGCATCTCCTGTTTCTTGCACAGCCTGGAGCCGTGTGACAATCCAGGCCCTGTCACCCGCGTCTCGTCCTTTGGGCTAACAATGAACAGGGGGCCTCAGTTCTCCCAGCTCCGGCCTCCCTCGCTCAGGCTCCGAGGGCGGGGAGCGGGGCACTGGCTGAGCAGGCCCCCCGCATGGGGCGAGTGGCGCAAGGGGCCGGGAGGCCCTGGGGGCTCCGCTCTCTGCGCTGAGGGGCTGGGGCCAGCCGGGCACAGCACAGCACGGGCAGCTGCAGTATAAACCTGCCCTCGCACACACCCACCGCCAAACCCGGCCCTTTCCGCCACGCAGCTCTGCCAAAGCTCCTCAGTCCCGACCCGCAGCCCCTGTTACCCCCGTCCGGGACATCTCCCATGGCACAGGCCAGACGGCAGGCCCAGGCGAGACGTACCGGGCAGAGCTGCCCGCGGGAGCGCTCAGCCAGCTGGTGCAGCTCAAAATAGCAGTTTGGACCCCGGTGCCGCCGTACAGTCTGCCAGGCCCGGCGAGGAACTCGCAGCGCTGGCCCATGCCAGGTCCATGCCACTGCATCCACACGGCTCGTTTATAGCCGGGCTAACACCGGTCTGGCTCCCCTCAGTGCAGTCACACCTCCGAGACACACACACACACACACAGCACCTGCCCTGCAGCGCCCCCCCCAACACACACACACACACACACACACACACACACACACAGCGCCTGCCCTGCAGCGCCCCCCTCCCCACAACACACACACACACACACAAACCCCCCTCCCCCCCCCACACACACACACAGCCCTCCCTGCAGCCCCCCCCCCACAACACACACACACACACACACCTCCCCCCCCCCCCCCGCAACACACACACACACACACACACACACACACACACACACAGCGCCTCCCTCAGCCCCCCACACCACACACACACACCCCCCCCCCCCCCAACACACACACACACACAGCACCTGCCCTGCACCCCCCGCAACACACAACACACACACACACACACCCCCCCCCCCACACACACACACACACACAGCCCTGCCCTGCAGCCCCCCCCAACACACACACACACACACACACACACACAGCACCTGCCCTGCAGCGCCCCCCTCCCCACAACACACACACACACACACACACACACACACACAGCGCCTGCCCTGCAGCGCCCCCCCCCACAACACACACACACACACACACCCCCCCCCCCCCCCCCACCACACACACACACACACACACAGCACTCCCTCACCCCCCAACACACACACACACCCCCCCGCCCCCCTCCCCACAACACACACACACACACACACACACACCTCCCTCCCCCCCTCCCCACAACACACACACACACACACACACCACCTCCCTCCCCCCCCCTCCCCACAACACACACACACACACACACACACACACACCATCTCCCCCCCCCCTCCCCACAACACACACACACACACACACACACACACAGCCCCCCTCACCCCCCCCCACACACACACACACACACACAGCGCCTGCCCTGCAGCTTCCCCTGCTGATAAACCTTGGGTCACCACCACAACAGCAATCTTAGTGATGTTTAGTCCTGACCAATCATTCCCCTCCCATTGCTGCCCCCCCCCCCGCTATTCCTGCCCCCCCTCACACAGAGTTTATCACAAGTTGATCTCCAGGACTGTGGTACTCAGCCTTCGGCTCAAAGCTCCAGATCCTGGAGTCCTCGGCTCATGGGAGGCTCTTGGCTTCCAGCCACCCAAAACATATGTGTCTCTGTGTGTGTGCGCGTGTGTGTGTGGCCGTCCCATGTTTCTTTATCTCTCTGCAACAAGCTCGGGAGTTGCTGAGCTCTGCAAAAAGCCACGAGAAACACCCCTGGCGAATGTAGGTGAGACCGGCTCAGTGCTAGTATTAATCATTGTGCCCGGGTGCCTGGTCTGGGCCAGGCTGAGAACGCCACACTCAGGGCAGACGGAAAGCACTAGGGCAGCTGGTGCTCGCTGCTGTAATTAGCTTCACCAAGCCAGTAACAGAAGAGCTTCTATAGCACCACACTGGTTAACCAGCAGCCAAACACCATCCTCCTCGGGCCTTCCAGCCCTTGGCTCCCATCCAAACATGTCTAATAAAGTGAGTGTCAAGGTTCCTTCCCCACTCTGAACTCTAGGGTACAGATGTGGGGACCTGCATGAAAACCCCCTAAGCTTATTTTTACCAGCTTAGGTTAAAACTTCCCCAAGGTACAAACTATTTTACCTTTTGCCCCTGGACTTTATTGCTGCCACCACCAAGCGTCTAACAAATATATAGCAGGGAAAGAGCCCACTTGGAAACGTCTTTCCCCCAAAAATCCTCCCAAACCCTACACCCCCTTTCCTGGGGAAGGCTTGATAAAAATCCTCACCAATTTGCATAGGTGAACACAGACCCAAACCCTTGGATCTTAAGAACAATGAAAAAGCAATCAAGTTCTTAAAAGCAGAATTTTAATTGAAGAAAAGGTAAAAGAATCACCTCTGTAAAATCAGGATGGTAAATACCTTACAGGGTAATCAGATTCAAAACAGAGAATCCCTCTAGGCAAAACCTTAAGTTTTTTGAAGACACAAAAGACACAAAAACAGGAATATACATTCCATTCAGCACAGCTTATTTTATCAGACATTTAAACAAAACAGAATCTAACGCATATCTAACTAGATTTCTTATTAGCCCTTTACAGCAGTTCTGGTCTGGTCCCGGCAAAAGCAACACACAGACCGAGAGAACCTTTGTTTCTCCCCCCCTCCATCTTTGAAAGTGTCACGGAGTCCCTGGGCGTTGCTCTGGAACTGCCCCCCATGAAGCCAGTCAGGACTCTGGGGCAGTCGCCTTCCTGTGAGCAGCCTGTCTTCAGGACACAAAGCTCACACAGCTTCCACCTTCCTGGGCCTGACCTCGGAGCATTCAGCATCCTCTGCTCCTCCGTGCGCTTCCCACAGCGAGTCCGCTCAGGCGGGGCTCCTGGGGAAGCCAGAGGGTCCCTGCCCCCCAACTCCGCAGTCAGACGGGACTCTCAGCCAGCCAGTAAAACAGAGTTTTATTAGACAACAGGAACATGGTCTAAAACAGAGCTTGTAGGTGCAGAGAACGGGACCCCTCAGCTGGGTCCATTTTGGGGGGCAGTGAGCCAGACAACCACGTCTTCCCTTCACTCCATGTCCCAGCCAGCCCCAAACTGAAACTCCCTCCAGCCCCTCCTCCCCTGGGCTTTGTTCCTTTCCTGGGCCAGGAGGTCACCTGATTCCTTTGTTCTCCAACCCTTTAGCTCTCACCTTGCAGGGGGGAAGGGCCCAGGCCATCAGTTGCCAGGAAACAGGGTGTCGGCCATTCTCTGTGTCCAGACTCCTGCACACACATGGTGTCTAGGGCTCTGCAGTGATTATACACCCTTACCCCACCACCTAGATACTTAAGAACTGCATAGGGGAAACTGAGGCACCCCCACAATATTTGGAAGAAACATTAAGAACAGTCCCACTTCGTCACAGAAAGTATCTCGTCCCCTCATTGGTCATTGTGGTCAGGTGCCAGCGAGGTTATCCTAGCTTCTTAACCCTTTACAGGTGAAAGGGTTTTTCCTCTGGCCAGGATTTAAAGGTGTTTACCTTTCCCTTTATATTTATGACAGTGAGAGATCACTGAAAACCCAGTTCACCATGTGATGGGCCCTGCCTAATTCATGGGCCATTCTGGTAAGTTTCACGGTCGCAACATTTTAAAAATCTTGAATTTCACAGTGTCTGATATTTAAATCTGAAATGTCAGGATGTTGTCACAAATCATGAATATGCATTAAAAATATAAACACGTGAAGCCCGTGCGTCAGCGTGTCGCAAATTGGGGGGGTCCCAACCCCAAAGGGGGTCTCAAGGCTATTGTGCGGGGGGCGGTGTCATGATAGTGTCACCTTTACTTCTGCGCTCCCTTCACAGCTGGGCGGCTGGAGAGCGGCAGCTGCTGGCCGGACACCCAGCTCTGAAGGCAGAGCAGCCACCGGCAGCCGTGCAGACGTACGGGTGTCAATACCGTTCCCCCCCCCACACACACACACACACAATAGCCAGACCCTTCATGGTCTGGGACAAGTTTTTCACAGCCATGAGTTTGGTAGGGCCCTAACCATATGTGAGGTTCTATTAATTGCAAATGGTCAGAGACTTACCCCTGGGTCAACATGTATCTCAGATCCTACCCAAATATCACACTGTCAGCCAAGCCTTACTGAACTAACTGAAGCTTTATTAAGACGAAACGCGTTATAAATGGTTAATAGCTCACACGCAGACAACCGATTGCAAAGTCCTTACAGCAGGGTTGTGCAGCAATGGACAAGATGCCTGGCTTGTAAGGTCTATCTGGTAACTTCCAAAAGATTGGCAGGTCCTCAGTCACCGCTTGCAATGTCTGGCTCAACCCAGGTGCATGGAAACTGACTGGCCCAACATGGAGTTCAGGGTCACATGAGCATGGAAATTTAGTGGGAAAAGATGGATCCTTAGGTCACATGTCCTGCGCGGTTTGCTAAATCACAGGGGGTGGCCCTTGGCTCCTTGCTGACTGAAGCATCCACAGGACAGGCCCGACTGGGCAGGAGGAGTCTCTTCAATGGCCCGCTGGGAGAGTGGCGTGGCCCACTGGGCCCCCAACACAGAGCCGGCTAGCCCTGATGGAGCTCCAGCTGGGGGTATCAGCTGGGAACACAACACACGTGTGCGGTACGAAGCTGTGGCCAAGAGTCATAACTTCACATCTAAAGCTGATACAGGCACATAAACTGTCAGACGTCGCCGTTCATAACTTGTCTATCGATACCGTACATGACGGGAGGTGGTGGAATCTCCTTCCTTAGCGGTTTTTAAGGCCCGGCTTGACAAAGCCCTGGCTGGGATGATTTAGTTGGGGTAGGTCCTGCTTTGAGCAGGGGTTGGACTAGATACCTCCTGAGGTCCCTTCCAACCCTGATATTCTATGATTCTATGATTCCATGATTCTAAAACGCCCGCGGTGAGGCCCGTCCCTCCTCACAATCATGGGAGACGTGGTGAAGGTTCAAGCAGCAACATGAACTGGCTGTGAAAGCTGCAGGGACTGGCAGAGTGGCAGATGACCAAAAACCACTGATGCTGCTCCTATTGGGGGTCTGGTGCAGAAATGTTGGGCATATGTGACAGGTCTATGTGAGGGACACAATGCTGGTACACGCAATACATACATGCAATGGGTCTAATGCTGGGTATATGGGACGGGTATATGCCCTGTGCATATGTGATGAATATAGCACTGGGTGGATGGGACAGGTGCAACGCTGGCTATATGTGATGGGTACAATGGGGGGCGGGGGGGCAGGAAAATGGCTCCTGAAGCCAACTGCCCGCAGCATGCAGAGCAGCAGAGGAGGGGCCCTCGCCCCCGCTAGCTGCGAAAACACACCCAGGGCAGAGGTCGCATGCAGCAGCTGGGGTAGGTCCCCCACGCCCGCTGTCGAGGAGCTCGGTGCGCATGGGGCTGGGCGATCGGGGAGCCTGGGGAAGGTTCTGCCCCTGGGTTTAAAGGGGCAGGCACATGGGCGGAGATAGAACGAAATGGGGGGAGGTTGCGAGGGCCCACGCAGCCTCCCTCAACTGTCCCAGCAACAGGGCCGAGGAACATTGCCCGGGAAAGCCCAAGTGTCCCTGAGACAGAAGTGTGGGCAGAGTGCAACCAGCTCTTCCTAGCATGGCTGGTGCCTGCAATCCCGACCCGGATCCTGAAGGGCCGGGGCAGGAAGGGGCTCTGTCTGGCAGGGCGTGTGGATGGGGCCGATTGCCCTGGGGCCGGGGCAGGAAGGGGCTCCGTCTGGCACGGCGCGTGGATGGGGCCGATTGCCCTGGGGCCGGGGCAGGAAGGGGCTCCGTCTGGCACGGCGCGTGGATGGGGCCGATTGCCCTGGGGCCGGGGCAGGAAGGGGCTCCGTCTGGCACGGCGCGTGGATGGGGCCGATTGCCCTGGGGCCGGGGCAGGAAGGGGCTCCGTCTGGCACGGCGCGTGGATGGGGCCGATTGCCCTGGGGCCGGGGCAGGAAGGGGCTCTGTCTGGCACGGCGCGTGGATGGGGCCGATTGCCCTGGGGCCGGGGCAGGAAGGGGCTCCGTCTGGCAGGGCGCGTGGATGGGGCCGATTGCCCTGGGGCCGGGGCAGGAAGGGGCTCTGTCTGGCACGGCGCGTGGATGGGGCCGTGCCCTGGGGCCGGGCAGGAGGGGCTCTGTCTGGCACGGCGTGTGGATGGGGCCGATTGCCCTGGGCTGTGCAGGAAGGGGCTCCGTCTGGCAGGGGGTCCGTACTCCTGAGATGCAGCTTCTCCGCTCACAGAGTCTCTGCCAATGTCCCCAGCAGGCTGCCCAGCGCCGCAGCGGGCAAAGTCCAGCCCCTGCAGCCTCCAGCTCGGATCCTGGCCCCCGGGCAGACCCTGACCAGGAGTCACAGCGGCTGCTGCCCAGCCCCTGTGGTCTCTGCAGCACCCCAAGCTGGAGGAAGAGATTTGACTTCAGCTTCTTTTTTATCATCACTGGTGGCTCGACCCCATCTTCGTGCTCTGTTTCCTGGGCTGAAAGAAGCAGGAATTCCTCTCCTGCTGCTCCCAGTCACAACTGCTACAGCTGAGCATATTTTTTCCTCGTTGAATAGAATTTTGTGTTCTGAAAGAAGTGGCCTCCTGCCTGATCCCGTGAATGAACTCATGAGCGTATCAGCTGAAGGCGTGGAAGTACCGGACACGCGAGGAGCCATCAGAGATGACCGCATGGCATTCAAGAAGTTCATTAACAGAGTTGTGCAAAATTATAACAAGAAACCAAGAAGGCTGTAGATGTCGTGCTTCATAGAAGGCTTGAGTAGCCGACTTTAATTTGTGTGATGATTTTAAAATCTAATAAAATGGTCATGAAACATTTTTCCATTTTCACTATGGTGCCTTACAGCCCCCCTTCACCCTCATGGTCTCACCCCTCATCGGCCCTGACCACCCTCCCTGTAAATTTGAATACCACACCCCAATTTTAATTCCTGGGGAAAACACTGCATGCAAGGTCTGCATGGGCCACATGCATGGACCCAGCCCCTCCTGAGGACCCCCCTTCCTCAAGCAGGCAGGACCGAGCTGACCCACTCATGAGTGGGAGTCACTTTCTGATGGCTGAGCTGGTAGGACGCTGTCTGGGCTTGACTGGCTGGTTGAATGGGCAGGACCATGCACCCTGCAGTGTGTAGCATGGGGCCCAGCAGGTGGAAGAGCCTGTGGGGAGGGTATTTCCTGGCTCTGACCAACACTCCAGCCCCCAGCTCTTCATTCAGCTTAGAAATTCACTTTATTTTATGCTGTGTTCCCATGATCAGCTTTGACACAAGCCCCTTGAGCTGCACGGGCCAGTGCATCTAGGGTGACCAGACGTCCCGCCACTAAGGGCTTTGTCTTATATACGCAACTGTACCCTCCCCCATGAGAAAAAAATGTCCCAATTTCCCACACTTGCTATCTGCTCGCCCGAAGTGCGGCCTATGGAGCAATGGGCTCAGGCTCTTGGCACACTCAGGCGGACGTCTCTTTGTCAGTTACACTTAACTCACTACATCCTGCTCTTAGGCTTTTCTTCATAACCACACAGGCCAAAACCCTTTATTATCGTTGTTATTCGTGTAAATGCAAGTACAGATTCTGGAGCCCAGTTCTGCAGCATCGGGAGGGACGGGGGAACTCTGCAGCCTGTGAACAGGTGGGGCCTGGTAGGGGGCTTTGGGGGAGAATCCCCTCCAGGGACTGGCTCTGGCTCCCTGCTCCACAAAGGCACCGCGCACCCCCGCGGCTGAACGACCAGGGAAGGGGAGAGGGGGCCTGTCCTGCACATGGTTGTGATGTGGGGTCTGTGCCCGCTGCACCCCTGGGCCCTGTATGGCAGCACGCAGGAGAGAGCAGCCGCATGGGCAGCCTGCATGGCCCAGGGGAGGCTGCTGCGTGGGTCAGGCCGGCTGCTCGCCCGTGCTGGGACAGGGAGGGGCCGGGCGGAGCTGGGCAGAGATGCGGGGAAGCAGCGAGTTGATTTGTGTGCCGGGCAGCCCAGCAGGGTACCGTGGTCTCCCATCCCACCAGGCTCGCTGGCTCCTCACAGGGAGGTCGTTTTATTCTCCTTCAGCTCCTCCTCGTTGTCCTCCTCCAGCACCAGGTTGTCGTAGGGGTTTGAGACCGTCCTGCTGAACAGGAAAGACAGCGAGGAAATATGGGGTCCCAGGGCAGAGCTTCGGAGGGGGGTGAATGGGCAGGTCCCTGGGACGACGGGTGATGCTGAAACTGTGTTCGTATCCCTCGGGGTAATGGCCGCTCGCTGGCTCCCCGGGCCCCGCTCCCACGTGTTCAAAGCACAGCTTGCCTTGCCCACACTGGGGCTTTAACACGTTCGTTAGAATCCCCCATGGACACGGCGCTTGGCAGAGCCGGGCCAGTCACTGGCTATGCGGCGGGCGCCCTGAACAGTGGGGCATTGAGGTGCCTCCGGGAAGGGAATCGTCAATCATGGGAGGGGGTGACCGCCGCAGAGCCAGGGAGCCAGCTGGTCACTGTCCAATGAGCTCCATCTGCCTGTTCCCATCCCAGCAAGCCAGTGGCTACCTAGTGCCTCCCATTTGCCACTGCACGGCTGGCCACAGCGGGGATGGAACCCAGAGCCTCCTGCTCCATAAAGCTCCACCCCGAGCAGCAGGAGGATCCTCACTAGCCATTAGCAGTATAGGGTGCATGACACACAGCTGAGCAATCCCAGTTCCCATCAGCTGCAAAATCCAGCTGTGTGGAGATCTCCCCTCAGAGAAGGCACCTGCTTGTCACGGTTCCCACTGAGGAGCTGAGACAGGCACTGTGAGCGGCCCTCACCTTTTATATCTACCCAGCCCACTGCGCACCCACGAGCACCTGCAGGTATCCACACACATACACGAGCACGAGCACACGCAGGCATACACCTGAGCACATACACACGAGTATGCACACAAACACACACACACAGGTGTTGCTGCCGGGAGCCAAGCTTGCTTAGTGGCTGGGGCCCTGCTGGCTGCTTGGCCTCTACTCCCAGCTCTGCTGCCAATTCCCTTCCCTGCCTTCATCACCTTTGTCATGCCTGTGAGTGCCCTGGGCAGGGCTGGCTCTGCGTGGGTGTCCCTGGCATACAGGGCATCTGAGCTCACTTGGGACCTCTAGATGTTACAGACGCTCCTGTTGCCGGGAGATGCGTGTCCAAGCCACGGGCAGAGCCCATTTCATAGGGCCAATAGGCACAACATATGGCAGGGCAGGGTATTAATGGGGGTCCCCAATTGGGAGGGATCCAGCCAGAGCCCTTATCTGGCCCCATCCCATCGGCCTGGGGCACCCCACAGTCGCCAACATATTCGCCCTCACAGCCCCTGTGGGGCAGGGCAGGGTCGTTACCCCCTTGTACAGATGGGGACTGAGGCCCAGAGAGGTCTGGCCCAAGGGAGGGTGTAGCAGAGCCGGGAATTATAATCTGATTGCCAGGCCGGCACCTGACCACTAGGCCACCCTTCCCCCCAGGCCCAGCTGCACCTCCCCAGAGCGGTGAGGTCAGGGTTCGCTGTCAGGGCTGGGAATGACCACATGAGGCAGGCACCAGGAGCTCTTACACTGATGCCAAGTCCAACCACGACGGGTCCTGCCCTGCCTTCCCCTCCATCTCCAAGCGCAGGAGGCCAATCCAATCCACGCACAGGGAAGGCCAGGGACTCGCCCCAGGCCATGCGGCAGAGCCAGGAATATCGGCCACCCATGCTGCTCACTTGGCCACCAGCCCACGCTGCCTCCTCCCCTCACTGGCTGAAGTGAGCACCAGGAGAGCGGGCGCTGCTCAGCCCTGCCCTGCCACCAGAGTCATTGTAGCCAGTGAAAATGGGGGGGCATAAACCCCACAGAACCCCCAAAATGTCGCTGCGCCGGGGCTGCAGCCAGAGAGGCGGACGCTCTACCTGGATTGGGCAGGTTCTTCCAGCGGCTCCTCCTCGTTCCTGAGAAAAGAGCAAGGGGGACAGGGAGTCAGAGGGCGCCATGCAGCGGGGGAGGCGGGGGGCCTGGGGAGCCCCAGCCAGCGCCAACAGGAGGCTTCCCCCTGACTTCAGCGAGCCTTGGTACCACGTAGCCGCTGTCCCCAAGGCAGCGGGGCCCCCGTCCAGCTCTGGATAAAGAATGCGCCCGTCCCAATGCCCAGTCGAGCGCTCAGAAGTGCAGCTGGTGGACCCCTTTTTGTCTGAGCCAGGGTCCACAAGCAACTGTCCGTTTTGCTGAACTTTCTTGATTTCCCAGCGGGAAAATGGATGTTTCCGTGCCTGGCTGCCCACCAGTGGCTCTTGTCCGCTTTCACTCTCTGCCAGAGAAACTGTCAGAAGCCCCCAAGGGCAAAGAGCCCAGGTGCTCAGCCGTCCCCTCAGAGCTCTCTGCCTCGCCAGCTCCCACAGCTGTGGGTTGGCCAGGGGTGAGTGCCCCCAATTGCTGCCTCTCCAGCCCAGGGGAGGGGTCAGTTTCATGAGTGAAATTGACAAGAGCCATCCAAGCCAGCTGAAAAATACAAACATTTTCCCATGAAGGTATTTCTGTTTTCCCCTCAGCTGTGCTTGAATTAAGACATGCCAGTGCAACAATCGGCCAGGCCAGGCCACCTTAATTCAGCCCCCTTGCTAACGGCACACAGGAGCCAGCTCTCGGGGGTCTCTGTCCAGTGTCTTACACACATGAAAAGAGCCATTCTCCTCTTTCAGGCCTCTGCCTCCTTCACTGTCCGTCCGGGACGCTGAATGAGGCAGGGGGTCCTGGAGGGCAAACAGCGCATCATCCGGTTGGGAAAGGCTGTATTGTCATTAGAGCTGGCTTGGTATTTTTCAACAAAATGGTGGTGAGGGCGGGCTGGGGGGGGTGTTAGAAAAGGCCAACTCATCAAAACCAAAATGTTTCACAGAAACGTTTCCGTTTTGACAAACTTTCAGGGAAAGTGTCTTGGGTCCAGGCTGGAATTTCTGGCTAGGGAGCAGCCCTCACCCCAATGTGAAGGCTAGCTTAGTGGGGCGGGGGTGCTTATCTGTGATGGAGGAGAGCCAGGTGCGACGAACTGGGACTGTTCTTAATGTTTCCTCTGAATATTGTGGGGGTGCCTCAGTTTCCCCTAGTCAGTTCTGAAGTATCTAAGTGGTGGGGTAAGGGTGTATAATCACTGCAGAGCCCTAGAGGGCAGGTGTGTGCAGGAGTCTGGACACAGAGGATGGCCGACACCCTGTTTCCTGGCAACTGATGGCCTGGGCCTTTCCCCCCTGCAAGGTGAGAGCTAAAGGGTTGGAGAACAAAGGACTCAGGTGACCTCCTTGCCCAGGAAAGGAACAAAGCCCAGAGGAGGAGGGGCTGGAGGGAGTTTCAGTTTGAGGCTGGCTGGGACATGGAGTGAAGTGCAGACGTGGTTGTCTGGCTCACTGCCCCCCAAAATGGACCCCGCTGAGGGGTCCCGTTCTCTGCACCTACAAGCTCTGTTTTAGACCATGTTCCTGTCGTCTAATAAACCTCTGTTTTACTGGCTGGCTGAGAGTCACGTCTGACTGCGAAGTTGGGGCGCAGGACCCTCTGGCTTCCCCAGGAGCCCCGCCTGAGCGGACTCGCTGTGGGAAGCCAGAGGGTCCTGCGCCCCAACTTCGCAGTCAGACGTGACTCTCAGCCAGCCAGTAAAACAGAGGTTTATTAGACGACAGGAACATGGTCTAACACAGAGCTTGTAGTTGCAGAGAACAGGACCCCTCAGCGGGGTCCATTTTGGGGGGCAGTGAGCCAGACAACCACATCTGCCCTTCACTCCATGTCCCAGCCAGCCTCAAGCTGAAACTCCCTCCAGCCCCTCCTCCTCTGGGCTTTGTTCCTTTCCTGGGCCAGGAGGTCACCTGAGTCCTTTGTTCTCCAACCCTTTAGCTCTCACCTTGCAGGGGGGAAAGGCCCAGGCCATCAGTTGCCAGGAAACAGGGTGTCGGCCATCCTCTGTGTCCAGACTCCTGCACACACCTGCCCTCTAGGGCTCTGCAGTGATTATACACCCTTACCCCACCACTTAGATACTTAAGAACTGACTAGGGGAAACTGAGGCACCCCCACAATATTCAGAGGAAACATTAAGAACACCGTGACACCAGGGTCAAGTCCCTGCTCCAAATTAGGCAGAACAGGGACCTACAGCTGGGATTCCCACATCCCAGGGAAGTGCCCGCAGCAGTGGGTTATTCTGGGTGGGGCCACTCTCTTGGGTGGTTTGGGGTGACAAATTTGGAAAGGTTTCGTTCTCATTCTGACATGGAATGAGAACAAATCCGGCACTTTGCCATTTTCTGCTACCTGAAATTCTCATTTCTGGCCAGCCGTACCCCCGGTGTGAATGCTCCAGGGGGATGAAGTTAAATAAAAGCAGAAACTGCATCATGCATGATCATAACAATCGTCCCCCAGAGAGCCACAAACAGGGCTGCCACCCAGGACCTTTAGATCCACAGCACAGATCCTCTGCTACTTAAACTTAAGGAGTAGGGAAGCTAGCTGAGGTAGTAGGTTGTTATCCTCCATCTGGACCAGTCATGTGAGGGCACCTGCTAGTGGCTCACACAACTATTTGCAAGCCAGAAGAAGAATGAAGGGAAGCTGGAATGGTGGGTGCTGCTCCTGGCTCTCCAAAGGAATATCATCTAGATCAGGGGTTCTCAGCCCATGGATCGGGACCCAAAATTGGGTCGCCAGAATGTTTCAGAGGGTGGCCTGGCAGCTCCTGGCAGCTCACCCCTTGCTCCAGCACTGCAACTCCGGGGTTCCAGGGTCACTCGGGTTTGGCCCAGCTGTCATGACGCCGGGAGCCCGGGCAGGCCAAATCTGAGCGAGTGAAACTGCCACCCCGTGAGCCGGGGCACAGCTCCACTCACACCAGTCAGGGGCACGGGGCCAAATCTTGCAACCCCCAGAGCTGAGAGCCAAGCCCGGGCAGCCCCACAGCACAGCACTGTGGGGTGAGTGCTGGGGCGGGGCAAGATCCACCCGGGGGATCCATCCCCGGCCTATTTACTGGGTCACACAAGTCATAGCCATTTACAGAGGGGTCGTGAGCCCACAAAGGTTGAGACCCCTGGTCTCGTGTGTGCAGACACCACAGCCAAGCACTTCCATTCAGGCTGGTTGCTCGGAAAGGCCAGTCGCTGTGTGGGTGACACTCGACTAGAGACGGCTCTGCCTGATGTTCCCCCTCCGCAAAACAGGACGGGGCCTGGTACTTGCCTGCCTCTGACAGGTGCTGTGACATGCACAGAATTATTAACTGAGGCTGGGGGAGAGACAGGACTAGAATCCACCGTGTCCTGCTGGCTCCCTCCCAGCCCGCCTTCCTGCTGCCGCTTGTCCAGAGCTCAGGCTCTGTGAGCCTGGAGCACGTTCAGTGCAGCTGGAATGGTTAGAGACTTCAGCAGCGAGCTTCCTGCAAGCTCTCCTGAGCATGTGCAAATGGCAAAAACTTGGCCAAAGCCGGATGAGTTTTCATGGGCACAGCAAAAGGCATCTCGCTGAACCAAGGATCGTACCCCTGCCAGGTGTTTATGTTCCTGTGCCAGAGTATGGAGGCGCTGGAGTTCTTCAAAGGAACGGGCAGGAAGGACCCTGGCAAAACCACCTAATTTCCCCAACCTTGTTCTCAGAAAGGCTGGACTGTATCAAGCCCGACACTGAGACCCAGCTGGAAAATTTCAGCCCAAACTGGTAAAATTTGTCAACGTTATGAGCAGCTGAAAACAGGGGCTGATAATGGAAAACATTAGGCCACCTTCACTACAGGTGGCACTGCCCATTTTGCCTGCAATAGCCTGGCGCAGCAGGGACTTGGTACTTTGTACACACTCTGTGCCCCGTGCTCCCTGAGGCAGCAGTACGAGCAGAATGCAGAGCCCAGGTGTGTCCCGATATGTGGAACGAGCCACAGATAAGCACCAAACTGCTGATTCCAGCCCTGGAGACACCAGAGGGGAGGGTGACCTTCACCAGGCAGCGGGCTCCACTCCCAAGATGACAGGGAGTTGATGCATTGTGCCCTGTGACAACACATTTTGTTCAAGGATCTCAAAAATGTTTTACAAATATGATTAGCGATCGCATAGAGCGTCCCGGTGCTGTGTGGACATTGCCTACAGCACCCATTCACCCAGCCTCCTGGGGGGCAAGAAGCTCTGTTACGCTCTTCATATAGATGGGGAAACGGAGGCACAGAGCGGGACAGGCACCTGCCCACAGCAAGTAAAGTCATTTGCCCCAGGCATGTCACTAGCACAGCTAGGAATGGAACCGAGGAGCCCTGACTGCCTGCCCACCCTGCTCCAACCACTAGATCCCACTCCCCTCCCAGAGCTGGCAGGAGAACCCAGGAGTCCTGACTCCCAGCCCCTGCCCCCGCAACCTACACTAGTCTAACCAGCACTGCCTGCCGGTCACAGCTCTTTGTGGTCTCAGACCACCCCAGTCAGTGACAGTGGAGAGCAGGTGAGGGGGCCAGAGGGCCCAGGAGAGCGGCAGGCGCTCTGCACCACGCAGGATTGGGCCGAGGGGAGGGTCTTGTGGCCTATGCCCCGTCAGACAGGGAGCCCACCTGCGCTTCTTGTAGCACCAGACTCTGTTGATGATCATCAGCATGACAATGATGAAGAGGAAGACCACGACGGCCGTCAGCCCCACCAGCCAGGGCTGCAGCGTCCTGGAGCCCGCAGTGGTGCCCTGCACTGCGCCTGCGAAGCCAAAGGGAAAGACTCGTTCTGGAGAGGGCCTGGAGAGGGAGCTGCAGCTGGATCGGGGGAAGCTGGTGCCCAAGGGGGGTCCCTGGATTGCTTCAGTGATTGCCTCAGGGGCTTCAGCCTCCAGCTCTACTCATGGGCCGCAGTAGTGATCTGCGGGGACTGACCCTCCCAGGGTGTCTCCAGCACCCCACAGCCCTGCTTGCTCCAGCAGTCCCAGCCCTGCAGACTTCCCAAAGCCCCCCACCCCCCAGCACAGAGATGAGGCCAGGGAGCCCGTGCCTGGGGCCCAGAGAGGCAGGGACGGGCCCGGTTCAGACCCATTTCCTGCTCCCCTCCTGCCAGGCTGCCCACCCCATGCTCTCCCACCCCCCACCTCGGTCTCAGCTGGGCGGGGGCGTCCCTACCGTCCTGGGCCTGCGAGGAGGCGATGAAGAGCAGGGAGAACAGAACAGTGTGCAGAGGAGACATGATGCCCGGCTCACGCGGTGGCTGCCTGTTCCCGGGCACCAGGTGCTGTCCCAACCCAGGGGCGGCACGGGGATTGCGTGAGGCTAGCGGCTGTCCCAGCAGACAGAGCCCACAGCCAGTGTGGGGAACAGCCCGTCTGATGGCTCAGGGACGCCAGCCAGTGGGTTTATTGTGCTCAAGAGGGCAAATGCCAACTTGTGTTTTAAAGGTACCATGGCAACCAGATTCCTTTAACCCTTTGCAGGCAACCGAGACAGAGGAGGAAGCAGAGAAAATCCCAGGTTCCAGGCCAGGCCCTGCACAGAGAGCTGGCTGAAATTTTTCAGGCAAATCGTTTATTTGCTGCTTAACGCCAGCTCAGCCAACCCGAAATGTGCCATGCATGTGACACGGTCAGTTCCGGCCGGAAAACACTCTGCAGGCCAACCAACTGGGCAGCGTTTGTCCTAGCCAGTGGGGGGCACGGCCCAGGATACTGGAGACCCCCATCTGAGCTGCCCTGAGGAGCGAATGGGGGCTGTCCATGGCTCGGCCAGAACGAGGGCAGACCCCCGGGGGAGGCAAAGCCACTCCCTCTAGCTGCTCACACAGTCCCCTCCTCCCAGCCCTGTGCACCCCGCTGGTCAGGGGGAGCCAAGCGGCCAGCTCTGCTCCTGAGCCCCAGGGGCAGGTGGCAGGGACAGGCCCTGGCTCTGTAGCTCAAGCGGCAGCCGCTCATGCTCTTCGCCCCCGAGGTCCCCGGTTCAATACCCAGGGGGCTGGCGAGGTAGCAGCCACCCTCGGGTGCTGTACCCCTCCTCCCACCAGGGGAGCCGCAAAGAGGTGACTGCTGGGGGGGACAGCTCAGCTCTCCAGGGAGCGGGGGCCTTTCACCACCCTGGGTTCATGTGACGCATCGATTGTGCTAAACATTAATGGTGTTATCTGGGTGCCCTGGGGTGACTCACGCTGGCCAGAGACTGAGTGCCAACTTCCCTTAGCGATGCCCGGTTAGCGCCCCTCACTTGTGCATGCAAACCCCACTCAGCGTTCGTCACGCTGATCGTGGTGTGGCCCCCTGGGAACAGAGCAAACAGACCCGTCGGGGGCAACGGTCGAACCCAGCAGCGGCATGATCCAGGGGTGGGGAAGTGCCGCAGAGGGGATCAGCTCGGGGGGCAGGGGAGGAGAGGGACAGAGGAGCAGGAGTGGGGTGAAGCTGAACAAACAGCCAATCAGCAGAGGAAGTCCAATCAAAACAAAGCCATAGACACACACACACCCCAGCTATGGAGGGTTTCCCCCTTCGCACCCAGGCCCACGGTGATGCCCCCTTTGGGGCACCAAGTCTGCAGCCAAGGGATGGCACGTGCTGCCCCCTTTGTCTGTCCCCCCTCTCCCCATATGTTCTCCCAGCCCGTGGGCCCCTTGGTTTGGGGGCTGAGTCTTCAACTGTGGGCCAAGGGCAATGGGAGGTGGCAGCCGGCCCTGGGGAGCTCAGACCCATCCCTGCGGCAGGAAGCTGTGCCCCTTGGGGAGGGGGGTGGCATGGGGGCAGACAGCCAGCCAGCCCGCTGCAGTTTGGACTTTGATGTGGCCGCCGAGTGCCCCGAGGTAGCCATGCCAACGGTGCCAAAGTACAGTCAGAAATAAACGCTGGGCGTCTTCCGAGCATCCCGCCCCTTTGGGAGGAGTTGGCCTCTGGCCCATGCTGGCACTGGGGCCAGGGCATCTCATCACAGGGAGGCAGGGGGAAGTGCTGGGACTTGCATCCCACATCACCAGGAGCAAAGGGCAAACTTCTGGTCCCACTGAGGCCAATGGGCATTTGGCCACTGGCTGGCCGGGAAGCAGTATCTTCCGGCCAAGCGACACCCCCTCCCCCAGAGCAAGCCCCATGCACCTGGCTCCTGCTTCTGGGGCAAAGCCCAACCTGGAGCCCTCGTGGAGTATCTCCCCTTTGGTTATTCCTGGAAGGGTCTTTCCCCTGCAACAGGCTGGTACAGACAGTAAGGTTGCCAACTTCCTAATCACACAAAACCCAAAACCGAACACCCCTGCTCTGCCCCTTCTCTGAGGCCCTGTGACAAAGCGGGACTGTTCTTAATGTTTCCTCTAATATTGTGGGGGTGCCTCAGTTTCATCCGATGAAGTGAGCTGTAGCTCACGAAAGCTTATGCTCAAATAAATTGGTTAGTCTCTAAGGTGCCACAAGTCCTCCTTTTCAGTTTCCCCATGCAGTTCTTTAGTATCTAGGTGGTGGGATAAGGGTGTATGATCGTTGCAGAGCCCTAGAGGGCAGGTGTGTGCAGGGGTCTGGACACAGAGAATGGCCGACACCCTGTTTCCTGGCCACTGATGGCCTGGCCCTTCCCCCCTGCAAGTTGAGAGCTAAAGGGTTGGAGAACAAAGGAATCCGGTGACCTCCTGGCCCAGGAAGAGGGACAAAGCCCAGGGGAGGAGGGGCTGGAGGGAGTTTCAGTTTGAGGCTGGCTGGGGACATGGAGTGAAGTACAGACGTGGTTGTCTGGCTCACTGCCCCCCAAAATGGACCCAGCTGAGGGGTCCCGTTCTCTGCACCTACAAGGTCTGTTTTAGACCATGTTCCTGTCATCTAATAAACCTCTGTTTTACTGGCTGGCTGAGAAGTTGGGGGACAGGACCCTCTGGCTTCCCCAGGACCCCGCCTGGGTGGACTCGCTGTGGGAAGCGCACGGAGGGGCAGAGGATGCTGAATGCTCCGAGATCAGACCCAGGAAGGTGGAAGCCATGTGAGCTTCTTGCCCTGGAGACAGGCTGCTCTCAGAGAGGAGACTTCACCAGAGTCCTGCCTGGCTTCGTAGGGAGCAGTTCCAGAGCATCGCCCAGGGACTCCATGACAACTGGTGTTAGCGGTGGGATGTACTGCACCCCATGGATGGCACTTCCTGCAGTAACTGACTGGGGAGCAGTAAAACAAAGGGGGATTGACAAGGACCAGGCGTGCTGAAGGCTCAGAGAGGAGCGCTTTCGGGGGGTGGTTAACCCCTGGGAATGTGTGACCAGCGAGAAGGACTGTGCAGTAATGGGGTCCCCCTGGGAACTGCGGTGAGCAGTCTCGGGGGCAAAGGAGCCTGCAGCTTGTCCCTGGGAGAGAGAAGGACTTTCGCAGTAACAGCGTTCCCCTGGGGATTGCAGCGAATGGTCCCGGGCCGGAGGAGTCTGCAGCTCGATGCTGGCAAAGAGGTGGTGACCTCGAGAAGGGCTGGCACACTAGGCGTTCTCCCTGGAAACCGTGGGGAGCTGAGAGCACACAGGCCTGTGAGTCCATGACAACTTGGGAAGAGCGGAGTGATGGCTTGTCACCATCTCCTTAAGAAGGACATTGTAACCCTGTGCAGAAAGGAAGGGTTGAGCATTGGAAAGTTCACCAAAGCACAGTTAATCATGCAGCTGGAGGAGGATGACCAGGAGATTCCTGACCCAAATGGGGCTATAGCAGGATCTGGGAGCAGCTGGAGTAGTAGCCAGGCATCCCCAAGACTCCTGTCCCCGACCAGACGGGGGTCTTCACGATCGGGTTCCCCATCAGGGGATTGGAGATGGATGGGATTGGAGCTGAGTCCGAGAGAGCAAGAGGACTGTGAGAGACAGCGAGAGCCTGAGAAAGAGCTGCAGAAGCAGCAGCAGCATGAACTGGCGGTGGGGAACGGAGAGGCAAAGGGGACCTCCCAGGGGTGAGTGGGGATAGACCCCGGGCGGCCAGTTCTGCAGGGAACCTCAAGACTAAATTGCTGCCCCTGGTTAAGGAGGGGCGGAGAGATGTGGATGCCCACCTCGCTGCCTTTGAGCAGGCTGGCGATTTGAACCAGGGGGACCCTGCAGAAAAGCCCCGGTGTCTAGCTCCCTTGCTGGGTCCCAAGGCCGTAGACTCTGTCAGCCAGATGGGTGGGCAGATGGACAGGCTCCCACTCCTGGCCACGGCCTATATGTCTGTGTGGAGTCTCTTGGGCTCAGGCCCATTGGACCCCCAGTGGGAGCGGAAGGTGATAGTCAATGGGGAGACATTCCTGGGGTGGCGAGATCCTGGGTCAGAAAAACTGTTGTCAGGCGCTGGGTGGTGCAGGCTCACCAGATGCTGAAGGGCTGTGTGACCTGGGTGAGGGTCCCAGGGATGAAGCACCTCGCCCTGCCTATTGCCCAGATCCCTGTGCAGACACAGGAGGGGTGGAGCTGGCTGGTTGTTGGGGTTCTCCAGCATATCAGCTCTGAGGTGCTGTTGGGGGGTGACTGTGTCTCTTTGGGACCGGATCCAGGCCCTGCTCCTGCAACAGCCAAGGATTTGAATTTGAATCCAGGATACCAATTGACTAAGATGGAAATTGTCAGTGAAAATGCAAATGACCTTGCTGGCAGGGGGAGGAGCAGCCTGGCTCAGGCTACCTGCCTGCCTGTAACCAGACCCCTGGGGCTGGGTGGGACAAAGAGATGCTCCTCGCCCCCTTGCACACCTGAGAGGGGGCTCACACTGGCTCTGATGCAGTGAGGAAAGCAGCGAGCTCGCTGCCTGCTCGCACTGGGTAGCAAGGGCAGCGCTGAGCACAGTGGGAGCTGAGACCCCAGCTGAGTGGGGGGACCCACAGGCAGGGCAAGTCGGCTACCAACCTGGTCCAGAGGCGCTGCTGGGAAGTGAGTCCACGGCAAGGATGGAGCTACCAGGGACAGGGCTCAGCGGGGCTGTGACCCCAGGGCCAGCCAGCGAGAGGGAAGACTGGGGAGCTGAGTCTGCAGAGCAGAACAGCTGGGTAGTTAATCTCTGGAGAATGCAGGGGATGGCAGGTCTACTCTCATCTCTAGACACTTTGGATAGGACTTGTAGTCTCTCAGTGAATTGAACATCTAGTCCCTTGTGGAAGCAGAGGTTGGTGAGGGAAGGACAACAGAGCTTTGAGAGCACAGCTTGTAAAAGGGAACCTGAGAAGGGTAACTGCGATTTGCTGGAAGTAGCTCAGGGTAGTGAGAAGAGCAGCAGGTTATCTGTTGGGAGTGGCAAGGTGTCATGGAGTGTGGGGGAGTCCAGGCCCTGCACCCCTCTTCCCAGGATTCACTGAGACTCTCAGCCAGCCAGTAAAACAGAAGGTTTATTGGACAACAGGAACACAAACCAAAACAGAACTTGTGGGTACACCCAGGACCCCTCAGTCAAGTCCTTCTGG